ATGTGGACACAACCTAAATGCCTAAATACATGAATAGATCAATAAAATATGGCATTTGGACAACCTTCAGAATCTGACAAGGGAAAAGAAGAGAGGGGGAGGGGAAGGGGGATATGGGAGGAGGGAGGGTATTTGACAAAGGGCTAATAAGCAGAATCTACAAAGAACTCAAGCAAAAAAACAAGAAAAGAGCAGGCTCAACATCTATAGCTCAGTGGCCAGCCACATACACTGGAGCTGGCAGGTTCAAACCCTGGGTCGCCAAACAACAATCACAACTGCAAACAAAAAAATAGCCAGCATTGTGACCAGTGCCTGTAGTCCCAGCTACTTGGGAGGCTGAGGCAAAAGATCACTTAAGCCCAAGAGTTTGAGGATGCTGTGAGCTGGGATGCCACAGCACTCTACCGAGGGTGGCAGCATGGTGGAACTCTGTCTCAAAAAAAAAAAAAAAAAAAAAGAAAGAAAGAAAGAAAAAAGCAAACAACTCCACTGATCACTGGGCAAAAGAAATGAACAGAACCTTCTCCCAAGAAGACAGAAGAATGGCCAAGAAACACATGAAAAATGCTCATCATTCCCAATCAGAGAAATGCAAATCAAAGCCATTTTGAGATTATCACCTAACCCCAGTGAAAATAGCCCACATCACAAAGTCCCAAAGCTGCAGATGCTGGCAAGGGTACAGAAAAAAGGGAAAACGTATACATTGTCAGTGAGATTGTAAATTAATACTGCCTTTTTAGAAAGAAGTATGGAGAATTCTCAAAGAGCTAAAAGTAAACCTTCCATTTGATCCTGAAATCCATTACTAGGTATCTTACCAAGAAGAAAAAAATCATTTACCATTAGAACGTTTGCACTTATGGCTCGGTGTCTGTAGCTCAGCGGCTAGGGCAACAGCCACATACAACAAGGGAGCTGTCAGGTTTGAATCCAGCCCAGGTCTGCCAAAGAATAATGACAACTACAAGCAAAAAATAGACAGGCGTTGTGGTGGGCGCCTATAGTCCCAGCTGCTTGGGAGACTGAGGCAAGAGAATCGTTTAGGCCCAAGAGTTTGAGGTTGCTGTGAGCTGTGATGCCACAGCACTC